TTTCATGTTAAATTTGATATAATATTTTTTATAAACATTGTATATTATGAATAATATATATATATATTATACTGATTGACAGATGCATCCACAATGGGTAATATTTCAAACACTGATGATACCCTCATTATCAGCATTATTGGCGGTGTAGTGGCATTCATCGCGATCATCGTTATCGCAATTTGCATCTGCCGACTGCGATGGAGCAGCCAAATGCAAGAAACGAGAATGACAACGATGGGAACGTCAACCATCCCCGAAGAATCAATGATCCCTGAGGCGTCAATTATACGACCAACAAGTGCCTACTCAGGCAAGGTTAATCATCATGATCTATACATAGGCTCGTACAACAGCTCGACTTTAGAACGAGGCAGCAATGGTTCGATGCTACTGACTACTCCTATGCAGATGATGCCCTATACGCAATCAATACATATGATGCATGCTATGAATCCGTCCTCGCCCTCACTGTCTACGCAGCAAATCTATGAATATTATGACAATTCACCTCTTCCCATATACGTTACAGAGAGCAAAATAGACAAATAATTGATGTAGAGACATTGATTCCCGAATATCATAAATATCTAAAAAATGCATTAAAAAATATATTTTGATAAAAAATGTATATATATATATATATATACATATATATGTATACATACACAGGGTGATTCGTATAAAGTGATCGATTTAATTATTAGCGAAATTTGAAGACATAAAAAAATAGTTTATACCGACATGTTCAGTACAAAGGGAGTTCATATAGTATAGTGGAAACGATTATTTTATGAGTGGAGGCGTTGAGAACATTTCAAAGTCAACTTTATTTTTTTTAATGGATCCTTCTATTTTTTATTGCATATTCTTATAGTGCTTTTTGAGACCTTTTCAAAACACTATAATAAAGTATCTTTTCATTAAGTATTTGTCAAATTATTTTATATCTTAATCTGATATATTTTGATATAAAATACATATGAAATATTTTGTAAAATATTTAGTTTTCGATAATCTTACTGTAATACTTTTATGTATACAGAATAATGAGATGAATCAATCGATGTATAAAAAAAGAAATTGTTAAAAAGATATTTTGTAAACAATTACATACTTTTTTTAAAAACAATTATTTTCTTTATATCAATTCATTTGTCTCATTATTCTGTACATAAAAGTATTACGGTAAGATTATCGAAAACTAAATATTTCACGAAATATTTTATATTAAAATATGTGTAAAAATTAAGATATAAAATAACTCAAAAAATACTTAATGAAAAAATATTTTATTAGTGTTTTGAAAAGATCTCAAGAAGGGCTATAAGAATATGCAATAAAAAATAGAAGGTTCCATTTAAAAAAAATCAAGTTGACTGAAATGTCCTCAACGCCTACACTCATAAAATAATCGTTTCCACTATACTATATGAACTCCCTTTGTACTGAACATGTCGGTATAAACTATTTTTTTATGTCTTCAAATTTCGCTAATAATTAAATCGATCACTTTATACGAATCACCCTGTGTATGTATACATATATATGTATATATATATATATATATACATTTTTTATTAAAATATATTTTTTAATGCATTTTTTAGATATTTATGATATTCGGGAATCAATGTCTCTACATCAATTATTTGTCTATTTTGCTCTCTGTAACGTATATGGGAAGAGGTGAATTGTCATAATATTCATAGATTTGCTGCGTAGACAGTGAGGGCGAGGACGGATTCATAGCATGCATCATATGTATTGATTGCGTATAGGGCATCATCTGCATAGGAGTAGTCAGTAGCATCGAACCATTGCTGCCTCGTTCTAAAGTCGAGCTGTTGTACGAGCCTATGTATAGATCATGATGATTAACCTTGCCTGAGTAGGCACTTGTTGGTCGTATAATTGACGCCTCAGGGATCATTGATTCTTCGGGGATGGTTGACGTTCCCATCGTTGTCATTCTCGTTTCTTGCATTTGGCTGCTCCATCGCAGTCGGCAGATGCAAATTGCGATAACGATGATCGCGATGAATGCCACTACACCGCCAATAATGCTGATAATGAGGGTATCATCAGTGTTTGAAATATTACCCATTGTGGATGCATCTGTCAATCAGTATAATATATATATATATTATTCATAATATACAATGTTTATAAAAAATATTATATCAAATTTAACATGAAAAAAATTTTCTTAGCGGAAAATAGCAAAATAATTTTTTATTATTTATTAATTAAAAATTTGATTTATTTTTGTTCAAAAATTAAATAAATCTTTTTTTTTTGCCGGAGATTAAAATTTATTTCAAATTTAAAACAATCGTTGGTTGTTCAAAATTTTTGTTGAGAGACAAAAAATTAAAAATATTTAAGCTTGACGAATAGCAATTTACTTGTATGATCAATATGTTTGTTTCGATTATTTTGCACCATCGGTGCGACAGTCCAAATTATTTCTGGTTCGTGTGTTGTCGATTTCATCAATAGTGTAGTTTCCGTCATTTGCGGTTTTGTCGACGTAGTATGATTGCACAAGAAATTCTCTTTTGTAAGATCGTTGAGCATTACACCCTCCAAATGTTCAGGATTGGCACAGATAACAATAGGCGCTTTATTGCCTGACAATTTGAGCCATCTCCATATATGTTTTGCCTCGCAACTGCAATTGATCGGGTTATTATTTAATCCGCTGATTCTTATGAAATCTCCGCGTTCGTCCCAAGCGGCTAATAGCTGAGCTGATAAATTGGTGAATTTGTTATCAGAAACGTCTAATTCAATCTTTGTAGAACGCGGCACCGGAAAGAAGAGAGCAGCCGGTATCGAGTCTACGGAAGTATTTTTTAAACCTAGGAAAAATCTTAATCCTCGTACACCAACCAGCGAGCTCGAGAAAATACTACGCAGTTTTTCCCCTCGCAATGTTAATACTTGCAGACGAGGATGAGTGTGTATTGATAGCTGCTCGTTACCTACTGATGAGTCTTTGATCTCGATGTCCAGCGTCTCTAGATTTGTCATATCCTTCAAAATACCTTGTATGTCGAAATAGCCCAACTTAGGATAATTGTAAGCATGTAGACATCGTAATCTTTTCAACGATTTAAATGCGTTTTTCTCGATCCTGGTACTATTCGCTAAGTTTGCCATTTTTAAGGAACGTAGCGTGACCAATCTGTCGAAGCTGCTCTCGTTGATGTTCTTTACTTCATTATTAGAGATGTCTAGACTCTGGAGTACGGATAGAGTTTTAAAGCTACTAATCAGATTTGTAAAATCTGTTAAACGATTCCTCGATAAATCTAGGCTCTCTAGCATCGTAGTGCGCTCCAACGTGACCGATTGAATATCTGTGATTGCATTACCTGAGAGATTCAGATGCTTCAGAAATGGCATCTCTAGCCTAGAAATAGTTCTGATACCCGTATCGGCGAGATTCAACGATCGTAGAATCTTTGCCTCACCCAAGATGCCACGTATTGCGTTTTCGCTCAATGGATTCTCAGAGAGATCAAGTGCCTTTACATTATTGATGATGACTTGCGTGAACATCTCCACTATCCGGTTGCGAGCTATTTTTAAATTGAACAGTGACGCCAATTGTCGTTGCAGAGCGCGGATTGGTATCTCGTTGAAACGATTGCCAGATAGATCAATCCTTTCAATATCGCGAATCCTTGAGGGATCGAAGATGGTCTCGGGTAGCGAGGCAAGTCGATTATTACATAGATTCAAAAATTCTAATCGGGATAGACCCTCCATGGTGCGCTCGCTCAACGTTTCTAAAATATTGTTAGATAAATCCAGTAATTGAAGCTGCGTAGAGTTGTAAAAGGCCAGCTCATCTACCTGTAACAATTTTATTTTCAATAATTAAGTTTTATTTTATTTATTAATAAATTTTTTATTTTTATTTTATCATTTTTTCGTATATTCTCTTTCTTTCTTTTTCTTTACTCTATTTTTTCTTGTTCATGCTTTCTCTCTCTTTTTTTCTTGCTATTACTTATCTACTTATCACAATATCGTACATACCGATTCAATTCTATTATTGGAGAGATCCAGATTGCGCAATCTTCCCATCTGCGAGAAGGCAAACTCGTTCACATGATGCAACATATTTCTAGACAGATCCAGCCATTTCAAAAACTGCAATGACTTGATAAAGTCACTCGAAAACTGGACAAATTGATTGTTTGAGAGGTCAAGTCGCGTAAGCCTCGGATGGATCACAAAGGCTGTTGGAGACAGCTGACTAATACGATTGTTTGACAAATCAAGGATTTCTAAGCCCGTGCCGGTGTTGAAATGCTCACCGAGAAATAACGTGAGATTGTTACCACACAAGTTCAACGAGTAGAGATTAATAAGATTGACAAAAGCGCCAATGTCGATGCGCTGGATGCTATTATACGAAAGATCAATTGTTGTGAGATTGTAGAAATTCTGGAAGGTGCCTCCATTGATTTCCTGTAGCTGATTGCCAGAAAGAAAGATTTTCTCCAGTGATTCAAGATTCAGCAGCAATACACTCGGTAGGATCTTAAGCTCTGTATGCGATATGTCGAGATTGATCAAGGACGAGGGAAATACTGGCGGGAAGCCACCGTATAAGGGATTGCTACTGAGGTTTAAATACCTCAGTCTATGTAAGTATTTGAATGTTTCCGGCGATAATCGTTTTAGTTGGTTACCTGCCAGATTCAGCGAGAGCAGATTCCTCAGTGACAATTCAGTGATAGTTGTCAATCGATTATACGATATATCGAGGTTTAACAAGGTGTCTTCCAGACCAGCGAATGTGTTTTGCGAAATGACTGACAGCATATTATCGGAGAGTTTGATATCGATAAGATGTTCGAAGTTGTAGAACAATCTGGGCTGTATCTCGCGTACTAGATTGTGTGACAAGCTGATAGTCACAAGATTCTTCGATGTGGCGTGAATTAGTTCGATGGAAAGTGCGGCGATGCGATTAAATTGCAGATGCAAGTGTGCCAGGGATGGTAATCGCATGAGCGCTGAAGCTGGCACCAATAGAATGTTGTTGTCTTCTAAGGATAGCCATTTCAATTTTGTCAAGCCCATAAAGGATGATTCTTCAATCTATAAGAAATGATATATAAAAATGCGATATAAAATTATAAATTTGCGATACTATTCTTGTCCAAATTAAAAATAAAATATTTTTTTACTTTGTAAGTTGAGTTTCAGTTTCGTTCTTCTGTGATAAATTTTCATTATATGTAAGAAACGTACCGTACGCAGCGCATTAAGGCTCAGATCCAGTCTAGTAAGAGCGGAAAGATTGGAAAACGTATTAATTCCGAGCTGGCCTATATTGTTTTGGCTAAAATCCAATACTTGCAGCTCAGTCAAGCGTGATAAGTGTATTTGTTCTATTTCCTACAAAAAATAAAAAAAGTGGTTTGTAGATCATCACGATGCAAGATAAATACAATATGATCATTTATTGAAATAAAATTTTTGCAAATTGGAAAACAATGATAGCTAAATATGTTCATACATTGATGACAATTGAGCATCATTTGTGGAAATACTTACAGTAATCAGGTTGTTAGAAATATTTAGGAATTTCAAATTTGTTAAGTGTCTTAGCGCGTTGGTAGGAAACTCCTGGAGAAAATTAGCTGAAAGATCCAAATGAAGTAGATTGGATACACCTGAAATAGTCATAGCAATTTATTTTTATTATGGTTTTGCAATTTTGCTGGATTTTTTGTTGATAAAGAACCCCGCACATTCTTTATGGGAAATTATCTTCCGATGGATTACGTTCAATCTTTAAGATTTTGTAGTTTGTACTCTTATAACGTTTTACGCCGAATATTGCAAAGGATCAATTTATATAAACAAATTAGAATAGTTCTATTTGAGGAAATGAAGATATCCTTGAAATAACCTCATGACCTTCATCCAAGATCGAACCAATATGGCACCATCTTATATCTCCCTCAAAACCACAAAACTTTTATACGAAACTTTTTCGATGGAAGTCTGGATTTTCGAGAAATATCAATACGAATAAGAGCGTATTAATATGCAACACTTACTTTTAAAGACGTCGCTGTTGAAGCGGCTAAGAGAATTATGGGAAATGCTGAGAAATAATAAATGTTGAAGATCGAAAAAAGCATTGTCTTCCATGTGAGACAATTCATTGTAGCTGAGATCCAATCGTAATAGTGATTCGCTAAATGTTATAAAAGAATCTCGTGGAAGAAAATCTGTAAAATAAGATAACAATCAAAAGAATGAAGTCAATGTTTGCGCATAAATGTTTCGAAAGATATATAATCGTTATAAAACTTTTATTAAAAATAATTTAAAAATTTATTTAAAAATGATTGTAAGTGCTCAAAATTATTTTTTTATCAAGAAAAACTCGTAAGTAAACAATATCTGTTCCATGCTAATCAACATGCATTTTTATTGTAAATATGTAGATATTACTTTAATATTGTTTAAATACGAGAACATTTCACAGAAGAACATAAATGTGTCAATGGCATAGTATAATAGAGACACGTAAAGAAAATGAGGTGTGAAAATTCTCGCGTCGAAAAAATATCATCTTCAAGCTAACGATAAGAGACAATATATGTGGCGATTGAAACAACATATCTACTATTTCTCTTATTTTACAATTAGATTTCATGAAAAACGCTTTAATAACCGTAAACTGTGCTGTAAAAAGGCATTTAATCATAAAATATTTACTATTTCTTGTATGATTATAAAATTACTTTTTAAAAGTATAACATTTAAAAAATATAAAAATATGAAAAATACGTGCACATACACGCACATGCGTGTGCACGTAAAAATATGTGCACATGCTCACATAAACAAGAATATACAAATGTATAAAATGTATAATCACCTGTCGTGTGCAGGTAGAGCAGGTAAAACCAAGGAGAAAAGTTCTTAATCATTTTTCGATTTTTGTAATAATTATTGAGAAATTAATTAAAAAAGATCGACCAATTTGCGCGAATATAAGCGCGCGGCGAGAAGAGACAACCCAAAGATATGCGATCGTTAGGCGCGCTACGAGCGGTATATATAACGCTGAATTTTCGTGTCCTAGCAACCATATATCAATATCAATAATGGCCGCGCATCGGCCGATCTATTTTAATTAATTTCTCAATAATTATTGCGAAAATCACAAAATGGTAAAGGACTTTTCTTCTCGGTTTTACCTGTTCTACCTAGACACGACGGATGATGCGATTGATTCCGGATACCCTGTATAAAAATAAACTACAAATTAAAAATAACTTTAATAAACAATTACTTTAATAAATTAATTATGTTATGAATCATATATATTATAATCATACCGATATTGTTTCGGGCCAAGGATAGCACTCTAATGGCACGTGGACCTTTCAAGGAAGTAGTAGGCACCGCAGTCAAATTGTTACCATCAAGATATAGCTCCTCCAAATTAGTGCATCCTTTTAAAATTCCTTCCTCAATGCTTTTGAGACCATTTCTGCTGAGATCGAGTATTTTGAGTTTCTCCATGTTGTGAAATTCATTGCTGGAAAATATTGGGTTTAAACTGTCACCCAACAGATTATCAGCGAGTCGGAGCTCGTGTAGTTCACTCTGCAGTTGCAGTACACGATCCATTAGCCGATGGATCATATTGTTTGACAGGTCAAGTTTCCTGAGATTTAAACCGGAATTAATAAGATCTTCTGGTAAAGTCTGGTAGCCGCAATTCCTCTGGCTGATCGATACGATCGGCTGATCATGCAAGATGTTCATCATGTCGCGCGTAAAAATTACCCGATCGCAATCCATTTCAATTAATGGTGGATAATTCATAGATATGGCACATTTGCAAGGCACCAGAAAATCCTGTTTCAACTCAATGCAGGGTTTCCATTGTGCTTGATTCAATGAAAAGATATTCCACAATAGGAAAATCATTAACAGATATGAGCTAGAAGTAAGAAAAGCGCAAATTTCATTCAAGATCTCTTTCTTTTTCTCTCCATATATATATATAAAATTAATATATACGTTATAATAAAGTATTTTTTCATTAAATACTGTTTGAGTTATTTTATATTTTAATCTGACACATTTTGATATAAAAAAAATAATACAACTCAAATATTTTTCAGACTTGATATGATCATATGAAGAAGCTCTCCTCGCGCATCTTTTCTTAATGTTAAAACAGATGTAACGGTGTTTCGATGCTTTCTACATATACAGGGTGTCTCAGAATTATTGAGTATTCTTCCACAGTATGCTATAGATTTTACATTCTTCGCTTTCTCAGCGAGAATTTTTACGTTGGCTATTCTTTTTTGTAAAGTTTGTATCTTTGATCCTGATAATTGCAGTTTAAATTAAATTCCATTGAAGTTTAAACTTAGATGAAGAATAGAATTTTGTTATTTATGTAGATTCTCAAAGGCTGGCTTTATTTTTTTCAAGACCAATAACGGTTTGAAATAATTCTATAATTATGTTGTATAATTACTAGTAAAAGTAATACCTTGTTGTTAAATAGATCGGTATTTCTTTAACATTTTTCTGATGTTTTGATCACGGTTGTAAGAATACACAAGATACATATCAACAGGATCAAATCATTTCAGAATTCTTAGCTTTTACGTTATACGACTTATAAAAGCGCCATGTTTTCTAGTTATGTCAAATAACAGATTTAAAGATAGATGCGGATAAAAGGTACAACCTTACTGCAATCTTCTTTCATTCTTTTGTACACATTCCATGGACTGAAGGAACGGATATATTGGAACTGATAAAATGTTATAGGCTGATTTAATGATACCCACCGCAGAATGCATTTTTGCACTTCCGCCGACTATGCGCATCTCAAACAAAGTGCATGTTACGCAAAGAAAGTTATTTTATGACAAGGAAAGGTTAGCAATATATCGTGAATGGTTATAGATAATAGAACAAAAGTAAATGTATAATTATTTATACATTTAATTGCGTTCTTAAACCAAAAAAACATTGTGACATTTATAGTGTCACAATGAAATTTTATAACATTTTGGATTACGCATTTTGAAAGAAGCAATATACCGAGATAAAAAAATGTGCACATGTGCGTGAGACTGGCTCTTTTAATCATTATTAATATGTTCTCCTGCAAATCAAACTTTCTTTTAATTTATACGAATCATTATTTCTATTGCTCATCGTTTCCGTAAAGGAATTACATATTTAAGCGAGTCAATTTTTAACGTGATATCGCTACGATATTACTCGAATTGTATTCAATTACTATCAGAGAAATATTCAACTTACACCATGATAACTTTGCAGTAGCACAGATGCAGTGAATACTTCACAGTTACCAATTGATATCGATCCACTCTTTATCGTTAATCAGATAATCAGCATTACCATTCGCATAGACATATTGCATACTTAGTGCACATAAAAATAAAACACACATATGTACATATGGATCACTATGCACTCATTATTATTGTTGCACCGAATCAAATTATCCAGATTGGCAGTTTCGTTTTCGTAATAGTTTGAATCGAATGATCCAAGGAGGATAATCTTCTACGAATAAAATATTGTGTATCCTGTTTTCTTCGTGTTCTTTTTTCTTTTACATGAAAAAGAGAATTATCGTGGACAAAATATGTAAGCGAGATTGTATTGAACGTGTAGCCGACCGTACACGTATACTGACTGCTTGCTGCCTGTAGCTACTAGAGCGACAAAAAATCGTGACGGCCAAGTGAAAGAGAAGGATCCTGAAGGAGGGGAGCGCCATGCCCATCCTTGGGATTTGCGGATTCCGACATAACGGAGATCTCGAGTTAAATCGTGCAAAGCAATTTCTGACGCTTTACATCATGTATGTGACTTCATGTTACGCATAATAATAAGCACAAAAACTTAAAAAGATTTAAAAAAGACATGAAAAAAATGGAGAAAAGAGTAACCTACATCCTTAAACTAAAATTTATTTACAAAATTTACTAATTTTTATATACTAAAATTTATCTTTTTTTTAAAGATTGGATAGCATATAATTTTACAAACAATATGTACAAATTAAAATAAAAGAAATTATTAAATAAAGAAATTAATACATATACATATATATATTGCACTCATGTGAAAAACACAATTTAACTTCTCCGGATAGGTATAAGAGTTAGACGCGGATGATATATATATATATATATATATATATATATATATATATATATTATAAGATATTATACAT